GGATTAGATATACGAAAATTTAGAAAACAGATAATATTTAGAAAATATAAATTTTAATTATAGCACAGCAACACATACATTTTGAGCGCAATATTACGTATATCCAGAACTGGGCATGTATTTTAAATATATATAATACTTTTATTATAATAATATTTATAAGATAATTATATTTTGTATTTTAAATATCAATATTGGCAATTAATGTTATTTGAATTACAAATTACAAAAAGCTTTTAATCTTTCAATTTAAATACAAAATACATAGATAATATTTTTATATACTCCGTTAAAATACATGATACAAAATATACTTATGTTCCAAATATTGCGTTTTAAATAAAAATATTTTAAATAAATGCCCAGCCTTGCAAAGTATACTATACTGTAGTTACTATTCCATAAGCATCTGCGAATAATTAATACATACAAATAACAAATTTAAAAAATGTGCAAACAATTCTCCGTTGTAAATACATATTTTCGTATTTAATTCATATGTAATTATTTGTAGATCTCTACGGATTAGATATACGAAAATTTAGAAAACAGATAATATTTAGAAAATATAAATTTTAATTATAGCACAGCAACACATACATTTTGAGCGCAATATTACGTATATCCAGAACTGGGCATGTATTTTAAATATATATAATACTTTTATTATAATAATATTTATAAGATAATTATATTTTGTATTTTAAATATCAATATTGGCAATTAATGTTATTTGAATTACAAATTACAAAAAGCTTTTAATCTTTCAATTTAAATACAAAATACATAGATAATATTTTTATATACTCCGTTAAAATACATGATACAAAATATACTTATGTTCCAAATATTGCGTTTTAAATAAAAATATTTTAAATAAATGCCCAGCCTTGCAAAGTATACTATACTGTAGTTACTATTCCATAAGCATCTGCGAATAATTAATACATACAAATAACAAATTTAAAAAATGTGCAAACAATTCTCCGTTGTAAATACATATTTTCGTATTTAATTCATATGTAATTATTTGTAGATCTCTACGGATTAGATATACGAAAATTTAGAAAACAGATAATATTTAGAAAATATAAATTTTAATTATAGCACAGCAACACATACATTTTGAGCGCAATATTACGTATATCCAGAACTGGGCATGTATTTTAAATATATATAATACTTTTATTATAATAATATTTATAAGATAATTATATTTTGTATTTTAAATATCAATATTGGCAATTAATGTTATTTGAATTACAAATTACAAAAAGCTTTTAATCTTTCAATTTAAATACAAAATACATAGATAATATTTTTATATACTCCGTTAAAATACATGATACAAAATATACTTATGTTCCAAATATTGCGTTTTAAATAAAAATATTTTAAATAAATGCCCAGCTTTGCAAAGTATACTATACTGTAGTTACTATTCCATAAGCATCTGCGAATAATTTCGCCTTTACCACGATGTAATGTTAGGTAATTTACTGGACAACATGCGTGTTCTCTCTTATGTCGTTAAATGAAAAACTAATCCAAATGTAAAAAAAAAAAGAAACTTTTACTGACATTTCTCGCTCCCACTCGAATACATCACCCTTCTCTTCAAGTTTTCGTAATACAATTACATAATCTACACCAAATTTTCGTTACTCGGAAACAGTTCGCTAACCGTTCTCTCAGATGTATCGTAAACAGTGAAAGTGTATGGTATGCACTCCTCGTCCGCGTAATACTGCAAGTAAATCTCTGTCTCTATCGTTCATGAATATCGATAAGTATAAAAGTGTTCTTTTGCGTGCTTCAGATTTATCGAATAGAAAAAAAGAGTAAGAGAGAAAGAGAGAACGAAGAGATGCAGTTAAAAGCTTTTTTGCTTGTACTACTATTGCACGCGTCAGTTGCTTCAGATTTCAGTAAGTAAATTTCAGCACGTATATGTCAGTAGATTTCGCGCGTAATAAACTCTCAAGCCAATAATTTAAATGCTTGGTATTATAGATATAAGAAAAACACTGAATTTGTCCGAAATTAACAGATTCATAAATTAAATAAATTCACTAAATGTTTGATATGATACTTCGAAAAAAATCATGATCATCAAATAAAATTATAATACTTCTTAATAAGGACGTAGATCACTACTCAAAATATATTCTCAATAAATACCAATTAAAAGTATGATATCAATGTTATAATTTCAATATAACTATTACGTAATACATGTGCTGTATTACATTTATATAATTGAACGTGAAATTATAACATTGATGTTATATTAATCTTCATTGGTTTACTGGGTTATAAAAAATATATGTTATATATATATGTTATATATATTGTTTTATTATTTTTAAATAATATTTGAATTTGGCAACGCAATTTTCTTATTGGTTTAAAAGTTGTTTAATTTTTCGTCTGCCTTGAATTATAAAGATTATGTAAAATTGAATAGTACTTATTATAATATTTATTTTCAAATTAAAAAATAGGGAAGGAATATTACAAATTAAATAAAAAAAAATATATA